TCTCTCCCCTCTCTTGGGCTCCCCCCCTCTCTGTCTCTCCCCCCCTCTCTGTCTCTCCCCCTCCCCTCCCCCCCCCCTCCCTCTCCCCCCCCTGGCCCCTCCCCTCCCTCTCTATCCTCTCCCCCCCCTCTCTCTCTCTCTTCTCTTTCTCCTCTCTCTCTCTCCTCTCTCTCTCTCTCTCTCTCTTCTCTCTCTCTCTCTCCTTCTCTCTCTCTCTCTCTCTCTCTCTCTCGTCTCTCTCTCTCTCTCTCTCTCTCTCTCTCTCTCTCTCTGTCTCTCTCTTCTCTCTCTCTCTCTCCTCTCTCCTTCTCTCTCTCTCTCTCTCTCTCTCTCTCTCTTCTCTCTCTCTCTCTCTCTCTCTCTCTCTCTCTCTCTCTCCTCTCCCCCCTCCCTCCCTCTCTGTCTCTCTCCCTCTCTGTCCTTTCCCCCCCCCCCCCTCTTCTCTCTCTCTCTCTCTCTCTCTCTCTCTCTCTCTCTCTCCTCTCTCTCTCTCTCTCTCTCTCTCTCTCTCTCTCTCTCTCTCTCTCTCTCTCTCTCTCTCTCTCTCTCTCTCTCTCTCTCTTCCTCTCTTTCTCTCTGGTTGGGGAGCACAGGAACAACAGCAATGGTGTCTTAGATGTGTGTAAGTGCATTATCAGGAGTCTATGCTTGGGTTATAGGTAAATTTTTGTATATAGATTACTGTGTTTATGGCATGAAAAGGAAGTTATTCCATGCTGTCATGTTTCGTTCTTTTTTTACTTATTTTTCTAGTTTCCGATTTTGTGATTTTTCAGCTATAGCAGAATGGTTTAATCTGTGCATTCCTTTTCATTATTGATAGCTGAAATGAATGCCATTTTTTGAACCAGAAACTGGAGATATGCTTGAGACTGAGTATCTTTGATGTTGTTTTTCCAAGGGATATTGCATTTTAGGAGCTTTTTAGAAATAGGATATCGGATAGTCTCATGGGAGTTGTACAAGAAGCTGTTTGAATGTTTTTGTTTTGTTTTTTGTTTATTTTCTTTTGTCCATTTTCATTTTCCATACAATTTTATCTAGTGGATTTTGTATCGTTTCTGACTGCCAATCTTGTTTGTGTTACAGTCTTACCTATAACCCAAGGTAGTTCTTGCATAACACACATGAGTATGTACACAGCAGTAGACACAGAAACTTATATCTGTATTGGTGTCTAGTTGCCAACACCGGCAGGATTTTTTTCTCTCACATGTTGTGATTGTTGCTGGATGTATCATCATTAATTGTTTTTTGTGTCTCTCTGCCTCTCTCCTCTCTGCCTGCTTCCCTCACCAACCCACGAATGATCGATCAACCAACAACCACTAGGGGGAGATGATTGATAGGATTGAATATCACGTAGATCAGTCCGTCGAATATGTCGGCAAAGCTATGGAGGACACTAAAAAGGCACTTAAGTATCAAAGCAAAGCACGTAAGGTGAGTAACCTGCAAATTTTTCACTTTTTATATCATCATTGCAGCTAGATGCTAATGTATTTTTTCTTTCTCTTTTTTTTCACCCTTATTTCCTACATATATATTTGACCCATCCTAATTACCCCTCATGCAATATTTCTTACTGATAATATGCATGGTTCCTCTGTGCATGTTTTTCCTTTGCAACACTAATATTCATGGGATCTATGTTTTATTCTTTTCATCTTTTTTTCTTTTTTCATTTTTCATTTTAACGAATGGCTTGTGCACTCGTCTAACATATGTTCGGCTTCCACTTTAATGTTCTGCATGATAACTGCACTCTTGCATCTGGCATGTACTAAATGATACTTCATTATGCTCTTTATACAAATAACCCTCTTTGTTGATTGCATGTACTGATTTCCATAATTAATCAAACTGATTATGTTCCTTGTTGCAAATGCCTTATTGATATTCTGCAACTGTTTCCCCTTTGATGTTTACTCATCTTGCAACTGTTATACCAAACACCTTTAACAAATGAACCCATTGACTGATCTTTACCACTGAAACAACAACGTGTGATGACTGTCTCCTGGTGCTTGTTTCTTTGTTTACTTGGGTATTAATGGCTTCCAAACTTCCAAACACTTGACTGCTGCCTCTCCCTCTAACCTTTTGGTACCTCCTACAAAACCATTTATTTGGTACCTCACCAAACCTTGTTTTACTTTTATTTGTAATGGTATCAAACACTATTAACCCTTTCCAATACCACACTTTGTCATTATGTGAACCCTCTTGATTTTCAATTGTCCATTACATGTATCCTACATGAAACCTGTTTCCTTGTTCCTGCAAATAACATCTGTCCATTGTGATCAACATTTTGTAAAGTCTTCTTCATATGTCTTGGGTTTATTTGGTTTTTGTTCTACACTGCCAATTGTCTCCTTAACCCTCTTGCCTTCTTCCTTACCCTCTCTGTTATCTTTGTGTTTTGCCTATCTCTGTCGTCTTGAAACTCCCTACCTTGGAAACCCTACCCTACCTATCCTCCATCCTCTGCGGCATCCCACACAATCCTTCCCCCACATCCCCGCCACAACTACAGGGTGAACTGATGAATAGAATTGAGAATCACGTTCAGGAAGCACAGGACTATGTGGACACTGCCAAACAGGATACTAAGAAAGCCATCAGATACCAAAGCAGAGCGAGGCGGGTAAGTAACACGACTAAAAATGATATTAACATGGGTGTTGAACAGCTGCTGTGGCTGGGTCGCTTGGTGATTGTACTCGCTTGAACTATCTTCGTTTCCTCGTTTCCTTTAGGTGTGTTCAATTGGTGTTGTCATTATGTCCACATTATTCTGATTCATCTTTTGGGGCCCTTTTTTAGTTGTAGATGTGACTCGATCAGTGATTTAGCTGTCTAGGAATCACTGTTTGTGATTTGGTCTCTGATTTGTTGTAGATAGAAAATAACAGCTTCAGTGACATGTCTGATAAAATTTGAAGACATTTAGGCGAATCTTAAATAAAACTGTGATGTTGCCTGTTTCATATGATGTAGAAGAAATTTGTCAGTCAGTAATCTGCATATAATTTGAAGGGCAGATTATTTTAATTGCTTGGGTTACCATCAGTACAGAAAACTTCTCTAGCCTCAGTAGCACCTTAAGCAAGAAACTGATCCTGACACATGCATAAATAGCAGATTCAGTAGATTTTCTTGAGTTGTATTGAAAAGGTAGTTCAGTTGAGTTCAGTTCTTTGTTGCTGGTAGTTTTATCTTTTTATTGTTAACAAAACGATGAACAAGACGCATCACATATTTATTTGTTTTGATTTCCAGTTCTTTTGATTTTATAGAGAAGCTTTATGCAACAATAGCCTTTCAAGCAGACAGAGATTTGAAAATTAAAAGTTGCTAGATGATTCATTAGCTGCCATAGTCCATATATGTTGTGTTCATTAGCAAAAGGTAATATATGTTAGATGGGATAGTATATAATTAGTGATGAGAAGGGGGAATATACCGCCTGTTGCTGTGCATTTCACACACTGTGGCTGCTGCGTTGAATGATGCTCATAGATCAATACCATTTTATTATTACATACCTACATGATTGTTGTTGGAGGATTCTTGCCACTTTCTTGGAACTGTAAGGGAAAATGATAGCATAAGGACTTGGGCCTGGCATTAACATAGACCCATGTTATTTTAGCAGATGTGAGGTAAATAGCACATGCAACAGAAGGTTCTTGTGTAGGTTATTAGATATCATGAATCTACTTTCTTTCCAGGTCCATATTGTGCAGTAACTGTCATTTTCACGTACCTTTGTGAAGCTTTGTTGGATTTTGAAGGCGTTCATTATTAAATTTTTACCCCCCTTTTTTTCATTTTTTATTGATGATGATACTTGATTTTTTTGGGAGACTTTTTCTGTGCTTTTTAGATTACACTTTGTCCATGGTCCTATACCAGGTAATTCCAAGTCGTTCATGTTGTGAAGTCTGTTTTATGCGATTGTTTCTCGTAGGTGAAATTGCTGCTTTGTTTTGTTTCCAGCTTTTCTGTACTGTAGCATTGCTTGTATAGTTCGTATATCTATAGATATATTTCTTCTGTTCAAAATTTTTCTTTTTGTTTGTGACATTAATTAGACATTAGACATTCTTGGAAGGGAGGGTAGTGGATTTGGTCTCCTTGAAGGAAGATTTGAAAGGAAATAGTTTTATGTGGCTTATTAGTAGACAATTTTCAGTTCGGAGAATATTCTTTTACTTTTTTGTGTGTGTATTTATTGTTGTGGCTGACTCATTCATATGATTACTGTGATTAATCATGTGACTGTTTTTTGATATGCCAACCAATTTTATGAGACTATTTCTCATGATTTACTCTCAGCTGGTTTTGCTTTACCAGCTGAATGAAAAAGAAAAAGAAAAAAAGACTTGAGTTTTAAGGATTTATTTTTTTCTTTTGCTTTTGTCTTGTTGGCTAATTATTGTAAGAAACATAGATTGATATTTGATTTTATAAGGAATTGGTTAATAAGGATCCAGTGAGGTTAATATCTGTCAAAAGATTATATGGAGAAGTAATATATCAATGATTTTGGTTTAGGAATATTGAATAAGTAAAAGTAGAGATCAGTTAAACAGCTGAGTATGCAATAAAGATTCATAATTTTTTTACCCTTAGTTAATTTGATTTATGCTAATAAGTCAAAGTAGATTCCTGTTTCTTTGAATTTTATATAGGTATTTTGAAGACCTGGTATATTAGTAAGATTTTCTTTTGTCATTTTATCATAGAATATAGTTAGTTTTGCATCATGTTCAGTATTTTTTTTGTAATTCCCTTTTTTCTTTTTCTTTCCACAGAAGAAAATTATGATCATCATATGTGTTATAGTTTGCTTATTAGTTCTTGCTCTTATCTTAGGGGTGACTTTACCATAGTAGAGCTGCTAGAATGGTAGTGAATGCTGGTGGACTGCCCGGATAGAGTTTTAAATTAATGTTGTTAAATTGCGGCATGTGAGGCCGTAGGCCAGAGGTCTTTTTTTAACATTCTTATGTGGGAAGTGATTTAGTATGGTAGAAAGATTAAAGATGAAGTCCTATGATTTCACCAGTATCCAGAGTTTTATTGTTTTTATTATTATTATCATTATTATTTTTATTATTATTTAATTTGTTTAATTTCCACTGGATTAATGATGGTGAAAAAGGCAGTGTAAGACATCAAAAATATATATATATATTCAAGGACTGGAAGTTGTTGGAGGAGTCTTGGTTAGTTTGATCATTAATAACTGTGATGTATATTCTTGTTGAAAGATTTTTCAGTTACTTAGGAATTATAGTTTCCCATTGTAAGTGATACTTGAGAATATTGTTGGAGGGTAATTGCAGTTGTTAAAGAAGAGTTATGTAAAGTTAGTTTTTAATTCCTCCCATGTATTTAGCTTCTTAATTTATGACAACTTGTCCAAGGGTAGTCTTAAAGACATATGATATAAACTGAAGCTACTGTCATGGTAAGGGCACAGCATAGGTTTACATTAGGTCATAGTATGTGCCAAATATAGTGTCAAGGATTATAGGCTCAATATCATGCAAAGTAAAATAAAAAAAAAAATTAAAAAGGGCATAATAGGTACAGTATTAGTAAAAGACATGTAAATGTAATTTTAATGTGTAAAGTTAATGGAGCTGCGCACGTCTAGTCGAAGTAGAGAAGGCGATAGAAATGTGGATTTTGTTTGCAGTTGATAAAGCCAATGATGTGTCATAGAAGCTGAGTGCAGATTAGTTTTTAATGAGGTTGTGTAGCATGAAGCTAAGTTCTAGAAAGGATGCAAATATTCTAAGTTGCCTGGCTGAAGCTCCAATGCTTTGGCTGTTGTTCCATGTAAATGGAGATACTTCAGACTATTTATTAGTTCTGAGTTAATTTCAGACCTTATTCTTTTCCTTCATAGAGGTGTCAGATATCAGAGTTTATCATTATGGTTTGCTTGTATTTTTATCCTACCTGTGGTATTTATGAGATCATAATATTTGGTTGTATGCTGTCACAAAGTTTTAGGTACACTGAAAATAACTCACTGTTGAAAATTATGATTCTTTCGTGAAAAATTTGAAATCATTTTTGAAATAGTTTTCTATTTTACCATGGTCAGTACTTTGTTGTCTTCAAGTAGGAGTATTGATTTGTACTCATTCTTTTAAATAATTTTCATGTCAGACATTTTATGTTAGCTTTAAGTTATTCAGTAAAAGTAGGTGCGCCAGTATGTGTGTTTGTGTGTGTGAGTGTGTTTGCATTTAGCTGTATGTGTACAGTATGTTCACTCGTAAGAGCAGACTGAATTTGTGTTTTAAGAACTGATTGCAATGAGATTATATTAGGTCCCTATTGTGGTATCTGGTTTAATGCTGTTAAAGAAAAAGTGAATGAATTTTTAAATTTAGACTTTCTTGATGCCAACACAAGCGCCAGCAGAATTTGTTTTGGATTTATTCATTATTCTGAATTTTTAATGTAATTATAAAGTTCTTTGATGAGCAGAGGGCTTTTTACATCTATTATATTTCATGCATTATGTTATTTGATAAAATTAGATAAGAATTGTATGCTGCTGCTTTGTACTGTTTTATCTTTTAATTTTATTAAAGATAGCAAAACCTTAGGATATTCATTTTATTTCTTTGAGGTACTGAAGAACAGAAAGAACATCTTCACTATGTTGGGTGCCAAACTATTTATAATTATGGGTTGAACTCTTATGAAAGGGCCGCTGTACACCCTGAGAGATTCACTCGCGCAAGCTCTTCACAATACACACCTTAGATATTGCAAGGAGCATGAAACTGTTTTTCTGTGGTGGTGGATTTTCACATGGTGCTCTTGCTTTCCCTTCTGCACATTGCATCAGGTAAACATATGCACATTTTTTTTTTTCTTTTGTAGTTACTTTAGACATTGTATAACTTTGTATTTTCCTTTTTATGCCTTCATCATCTAAATTTAACCATGTAGTTGGTGCTTTTTTAATCCCTATTTGATAATTGTGGTAATTCATTAAAATTACTTTATAAAAAGATTCCTTTTCCCTTTTCATATTTGTAAAGTAAAAAAAAAGTTTGTAAAGGACTCAAGACTAACAAAATTGAGGGAGATTTTTCCCACTTATTTTTTGTCCTTGTTAATTTATAAAGATCTTATTGAAGTTTGATAGTTTATATCTTATTTCAGATTTTATTTTTATATCATTTATGTATTTAGAATGTAACATTTCTTTCATATCCTTGTTTGATTATACTTACATTTTATTAACTATTATTTTCCTTTTTTAGCCTTAGTAGATAGGTGTCAAAAATTACATCAGATTAATTTTCAGTGAATATTCATTTGAAAAAAATCTCCATTAAATAATTACATGTTTGAATAGTTCTTGTTTTTTGCATATTTTGTTTTGTTTCTCTGACTAGAAATAATAATGCAGATTATATTACATTACAAGAGAACATTTCTTGGTACTACAGGAACACAAGTTATACATTTTTGTTTTAATTCATGTGTATATATATATATATATATATATATATATATATATATATATATATATATATATATATAGACACACACACACACACACACACACACACACACACACACACACACACACACACACACACACACACACACACACACACACACACACACACACACACACACACACACACAACACAAACACAAACACACAACAAACACACACACACACACACACACACACACACACACACACCACACACACACACACACACACACACACACACACACACACACACACACACACACACACACACACACACACACACAAAATA